CTGGCATGCATGCAGGGGCAACCAATTGATATGTCTCTCTCACATAGAAGTTTCTCTCTCTCTGTCTCTTATCCATCCTTCCACTCCCTAAAAACTCAATGGGAAAATATCCTCAGGCGAGTATTAACAACAAAAAAATGCTGATAATATACTGTGTTCATGGGTTGGAAGACTCAGTGCAGTAAAGATGTTAAGTCTCCCCAAAATGATCTATAGCTTAAACAAGATTTCATTGTAGATATAGACAAGATTATTTCAAGATGTCGGGAAAACAAAAGGAACTGGGAGAACTAAAGCAATTTTGAAAAAGAAAAGGTGAGAAGAATCACAATCAATTTTAAGACATATAGATACTAGTGACCCGGTGCATGGATTTGTGCACATTGAAAGGAAATTAATCAGAAGGTGGCCAGTGGGGCCGGACTGGGTGAGATGGGCCAGACATACCCTGGAGCCAACCTCCCTTGGTCCCTCCCTGGTGTCTGTGGAGTGAGGGGGGGAAGCCCTCGGGCAGGTGGGATCCCTCAGCCTGGCATGTGGGGATCCTGATGAAACCAGCTCTCTGACATCCCCAGAAGGGTCCCGGAGGGCAAGAGGGCACTCTGCAAAGTTGCTGTCATACAGGGTGTGGAATGCAAACACAAGTGTGCAGTAAACCAGAGTCGGGGCTGACAGTGCCCGAGCAACAACATAACCCACGGCCAAAGGTGGAATCGTGCGGCCCTGCGAGGAATCATGCTCCCTCCTCTCTGGTTCTAGGGTGTGTCAGCCGAGAACCGCTGTTGCCAAGTCAATGCAGCTCGGCAGCTCCTGCGTTGAGCATCTGCCCCACTGGTGGTCAGTGCGTGTCATAGTTACCGGTCAGTGTGTGCCATAGCTACCAGTCAGTGTGTGCCATAGCTACCAGTCGGACGGACACTTAGCATATCAGCCTTTTATGTATATAGATAGTAATTGAGACAGGGTGATGTTGGCAGAATAACAGCAGCATAGATAAAAGGAACAGAATTAAGCAACCAGAAATACATCCACACCAAGTAAGCCCAATTGATTTCTGACAAAACTGTGAAAACAATTAAGTGGAAGAATAAAAATCTTTCAACAAACTGTGCTGGTACTCACAAAAAATTAAGCCTTACCCTAAACTTCAGATTTTATATAAAAATTAACTCAGAGTAGATCAGATTTAAATATAAAAGCATAAAAATTTTTAAACATTTAGAAGAAAACAGGACACCTTAAGGACCTAGAACTTATTGAAGAGTCCCTAGCCATATTAAAAACATAGTCCATAAGAGAAAAATATACATGAATTTGATTTCATCAAAATTTAAAATTTGTGCTCTGAAAAAGACATATAAAGAGGATGAAAAAACAAGTTCTATGCTAAGAGAAAATATTTGCAAAATACAGATCTGACAAAGGGTACATATCTACAAGAAATAAAGAACTCTCAAACTCAAAATAAAAAATCCTAATTAGAAAATGAACAAAAGACATGAAGAGACATTTCACTGATGATATACTCATGGCAAATAAGCACATAAGATGTTCCACATCACTAGCTATCAGGCAAATGCAAATTAAGATCATGATGAGATACCAGTACATAGTTAAACAGCTCAAACAAAAAGTAGTAATAGCCTGGCCAGTGTGGCTCGGTGATTGAGCATTCACCCAGGAACCAAGAAGTCGCTGGTTCGATTCCCCATCAAGGCAATGTGCCGGTTATGGGCCCGATCCCCAACAGGGCCCATGCAGGAGACAGCAGGTCGATGACATTCCTCTCTCATTGATGTTTCTATCTCTCTATCCCTCTCCCTTCCTCTCTCTCTCAAAAAATCAATAAAAACATTTTTTAAAGTAATGACAATACCAAAAGCTGGTAAAAATTTGGAGAAATTGGATCTTTCAAACATTTTCAGTGGGAATATAAAATGGAAGAGCCTTGCCGAAACCGGTTTGGCTCAGTGGATAGAGCGTCGGCCTGCGGACTGAAAGGTCCCGGGTTCGATTCCGGTCAGGGGCATGTGCCTGGGTTGTGGGCACATCGCCAGTAGGGAGTGTGCAGGAGGCAGCTGATCGATGTTTCGCTCTCATCGATGTTTCTGACTCTCTCTTTCTCTCCCTTCCTCTCTGTAAAAAATCAATAAAATATATTTAAAAAAAATAAAATAAAATGGAAGAGCCCCTCTGAAAAACAGATTGGTATTTTCTGAAAAAAACTAAACATTAACATTTATCATATGAATCAGCAATGTCACTCCTTGGGCATCCCAGAGAATAAACTTTGGTTCACAAATCTGAACACATACGTCTTAATTCAGTGCTATTCATAAGAGCACTATGGGAACCCTAATCAAAATAGGCCGGATGTCCAAGGCCAATTTGAGTGTGGGAGCCGTCCAGAATACGCTGGATATTCAAGGCCAATCTTAGCAAGAACACAGCGATTGTACTGTACGCAATGTGCAGGTGTACCTTTCTATAACCCAAACATTGATGTCACTATTTGGCAAGAAGCTTCGTATGGTCTATAATAAAGACTCTATTATACACCTATGACTGCTCATGTCTTCTCCGTCTAATACCTGGTGTCCATGGGGGTACAGCCCCTAGCAGAGAAGGACCTGTGCTCTAACAAGCACAAAACTTAAAACAGATCTCCTTAAATAACTTAATGGTCATATAAACTGTGGTACATGCATACCATGAAATATTAGTCAACAATAGAGGGGAACCTACAACTGATATGTGCAACAAATTGGGTGGATCTTAAAGGTATCATTCTGCGTGGGGAGAAAAAGCTCATTTCAAAAGGTCACTTATGAATTAAAAATGGCGGCAGAGTAAGCGGATGCTATACAGACATGCTCCCACGAACAAACTAGAATTACGACTAAAATACAGAAAAACTTCCTGAATAATCAATGGAAAACTCACAGGAGAGAATCCTGATACCTGAGGGCCGAAAGTGGAGACCACATAAAGACTGGTAGGAGGGGCAGAGGCGCAAAAGGGCTGGCCTGGCTGGGTGCACACAGACAACAACTGAAGTCCCAGAGAGATATCTAAGCTGTGTGGGGGTTGCCACTGAGAACTCTGGGGTCTATTTCCTAAGCTGAGCCACCCAGCAGAGAACACCAGAATTGAGAAGGGTACCCACATAACATCTGGCTGTGAAAAGCAGTGGGGTGCTCTCTGCCAGGGAGTGACAAGCTGAAAATCCAGGCATCCTCTTAAAGGGTCAACCCACAAAAGTCCCTGTGGAGCCACCCACCTTGTGCTCCAGCAGAGGAAAGGTGAAGTGGACTGGAGGTGTAAGAGCAGAAGTCAGGACTGGGGACTTGGGGGATAGAGCTCAGAAAGCAGACACCCCAAGTCCCCTGGGCTGAGTTATTCCCTCACACAGCAGAGGACCTCTTTCCCACATAGACATGTGCCTTGCCTGGGGGAAAACAGTCGACACACCCTATTTGAAAACACAGGTCCTAAGGCCACTTAAGAGATTTAAAATAACAATTAGCCACTGGACAGTAGCAACTGCCCCACCCTGTTGGGGAAAAAAAACTCTCCCCACACCTCAGGGGCAATTAAGTTAGAATCTCATCAGTCTGCAGGCAGAGGCAGTCTCCAGAGGCTTTGAGTTTTTGCCTAATCTAATTAGTCAGAAAGCTTTTGACGCTGTCCTGCACTAGAGATTGAGAGGTGTAAAGTATCTACAGGCAGTCCTCAGGTTATGTCAGACTCCACGCACGTAGTTTCGTGGTTTTGTCGCCATCTCCCATTTACAGTATTTACAAAAAAGAAAAAAAAGTTCCGTCATTTCAATGTATGTACATATGTGCTTTATGATTTTTATTATTTATTTACCACAAGTAAAGGTCAGGAATTGTTATCTTTTTAATTTTTTTTACTGTTTCACTTCATTACTGCTGCATATGTGCTCCATGAGAGAAACGTAGGTGCTTATGTAGGTGGGTTCCGACTTATGGCAAAAATCACTTTACATCATTCCGTAGGAATGGATCTCCAACGTAACCTGAGTACCTATTGTACCTAATACATAGTCACAAACCCAAACAGATAGCCAAAATAAGAAGACAAAAAAACAACCTCCAAATGAAAGAACTAGAGAATTCTCCAGAAGAAGAAATAAATGAAGCAGAGATAAGAAATTTATCTGAAACAGAGTTCAGAGTAATGATGGTAAACGTGCTCAACAGCATGAAAAAAGATATAATATAGTAACTATGAAAACAGAACGGTCTTTATGTCATAAAGAATGACATAACACAAGTAACACATTGGAAGGAATACACAGCAGATTAGGGGAAGCTGAGGATCGAATCAGTGAATTAGAAGACAGAGTTGAAAATATCACTCAATCAGAAAACAAAAATCAAAACAAAAAAATAAAAAACAGGAGGACAGCCTAAGGGAACTGTGGGACAATGTGAAACGTAACAATATTAGAATAGCAGGTGTGCCAAAAGAGGGAGAAAGGGATAGAGAGCATGTTTGAAGAAATAATGACAGAAAACTTCCCTAACCTGGTAAAGGAAAAAGTTACACAAGTTCAGGAGGCACAGAGAACCCCAACCAAGAAGAACCCAAACAGGCCCATGCCCAGACACATCATAATTAAAATACCAAAAACTAAAGACAGAGAATCTTAATCCTTTGTATGCCATAAGCATCTAATGGCACTTAAAAATCATTTTCTGCAAGAATTTTCAACTGAAAATATTCAAGAACACCTGAATTGTGAGTAATATATTTATTTTTATAACATTCATTGCAAATTGATTTTTTTTTAATTAAATTCCAAACATCGTGGCATGAGGGGATGATTTCCATTTTGGACATGTGGCAGTTAACTGGTTAAAGGCAGCAAATAAAAAGAAAGCTATTACCTACAAAGGAGTTCCCATGAGGCTGACACCTGATTTCTCATCAGAAACTGTACAGGTCAGAAGGGAATGGCATTAAATACTCAAGGTAATGAAAAGCAAGCATATGAGACCAAGATTATATCCAGCAAGGCTGTCATTCAAAATAGACAGTCAAATAAAATGCTCCAATCAAAAGGCGTAGGATAGCTAAATGGATACAGAAACATGACCCGACTAACTATATGCTGTCTACAAGAGACCACCTCAAAACAAAAGACACACACAGGACGAGCCCGAATACCTCAGCAATCTTGAGAAAGAAACAAAGTTGGAGGGATCACAATACTAGGTATCAAGTTATACTACAATGCCACCATAATCAAAACAGCCTGGAAATGGCACAAGAATAGGCATATAGATCAATGGAACAGAACAGAGACCCTAGCTATTTACCCAAGCCATTACACTCAATTAATATTTGACAAAGAAGGTAAGAACATACAATGGAGCCAAGAATCTATTCAATAAATGATGTTGGGGAAATTGGACAGATACATGCAAAAAAATGAAACTAGACCAACAACTTACACCATACACAAGAATAAACTCAAAATGGATAAAAGAGTTAAATGTAAGTAGTGAAACCATAAAAATCTTAGAAAAAACCGTAGGCAGCAAAATCTCAGACAACATCTCTGTAGAAATATATTTACAGATACATCTCCTAGGGCAGCGGTTCTCAATCTGTGGGTCACAGCCCCTTTGGGGGTCGAACAACCCTTTCACAGGGGTCGCCTAAGACCATCGGAAAAAACATATTTTCGATGGTCTCAGGAACCGAGACACTGCTCCTCTATCCATCTCCAGGTGGGTCCGCCCACATACAGATACGCCCACATACGAGTACCCGGCGAGATGACATCATCGTGCCAGCCCCATCACATATACCCCGTACAAATACAGGTGTATGTGACAGGGTTGGCACCATAATGTACTTATACTGACCAGTCACACATGTGTAGAAAGCAGCTACTGTGTAGAAAGCAGCTATGTTGAAAGCAGCTACTCTGTTAAAAGCAGCTACTGTGTTGAAAGCAGCAGTACTGGAGGTAAAATGACACTTCATGAATTATAATTACTGGGTAAATGTAAAATCATGTACTGTAAAATCAACTACTGCAAAAAAAAAAAATCTGTACCATGGGAACTTAATCTGGATGCTGATTGGCATTTTTATATTCAGCTGTGGTTGATGTGAATACTGCCCCCTTGTGATAGTAACAGGTATGTAAAAAACAACACAGAGAATGGTAAATCATAGGAAACTTTAATGAACTATATTGACAACTATGCCATTTGTCATCTTTTGTATTATTAAAGCTATTGTTATATATTATTTTCATTAGCAAACCATCCCATGACAATGGATCGTGTAGAGAAGAACGTTAAGAAAAGAAAATATAGTGAGGATTTTTTACAGTATGGTTTTACCTCAATAATTACAGCAGAAATTGAGAAACCGCAATGTATTATTTTTTGTGAAGTTCTATCAGCCGAATCTATAGAGCTGAACAAACAAACTAAAATGCCATTTTGATAGCAAGCATTCAAGCTTTGCCGGCAAGGATACCAACTATTTTAGAAGAAAAGCTGATGGACTCAAGAAAGCCTGACTTGACACTGGTGGCAAAAACACCAAAAAA